CTAGCCCGCAGTGGTGATTTGAAGCCAATGGCTTGAAGCCTTCATTTCAATATCAGGAAATACATTAAAGATAAAGAGAGAAAATTATTATGGGGAATTTAAAGTGGTCCCTAAAAACATGTCCCTTAATACAAATGCATGCTTCAGCAAGTTAGACTACACACCATTTTAGTAACAAGCATATTATACAGGCAGAAGGAGGCTATATCATTTCAAGTACTTTTTTTTTTTTATCTCACAACACAGAATTGTCATTTACTTCCAGCAAGACCTCGGGGAGCCCTTCCTTTGCTTTATTTCAGCCCAAAAGGCACCTAAATAAACACCAAAATATTCCGTAAGCTGGGATAGTTTTCCTCATATGAAAGAATCCATAGTCCTTGTCAGGAATCGATCCAACAGCAGTGAGGGGCAAGCAGTAACATGAAAAAGTTACATTTATCAATCATATAAAAAACTTTATACATTTCATTAGTCTAAAGTACATTAAACAGCATGATATAATAATCATAATAATCTCTTGAAAGTTACAAGAATATACCTTATTTTCCTGCCTAATCTCGTCCAGTTTTAGCACCCATGGATGTGTCCATATTCTCATTAATGCCTGATAGTCAGTGAAGAGTCGTGCCCCTTTACTCTTTATATCCCCAGTTCCACCGAGGGAGTTCATAGACAGGTAGTTCTCATACAAAGTCATCTGTACTTCAGACAAACGTACTGAGATCACATACTCAAACTTTGGTGGCAAATATTTGGTGAGGGCTGAATAATCTTTCCTCTGGAGAAAAAACCACAACATATTATTCATCATTTCTTTGTTTATATCAAATATAATAGTATTAATTTTGCAATGTGCTTGAGGGTAGTGCAAAGACCAAGTCTAAAGTTGCACACGGCTGGAGCAATGACCAAGTTTAAAGGCTACAATATCAATTGAAAGAACATTCTTTTAATACCATATTAATTAGAACATTTAGTGGCACACGTCTAGTCTGAGAAAGATAATCAACTTTTATCAGGGTTTTTTTTTACAGTAAGTAAAGTAACATATTGTACATAACTGGATAATAAGTGAAGTAAGTATAAAGAGTTCATCTCCTCAAAGCTACAACCTGAACTTTTTTTTAATTTGAATTGGCAATAACGACAAATGTGTGCCATTGCACAGTATACTGCTTGAAGCATTTTTGACCTAGAAATCCCTGACAACAAACAACATTCAAGTATGAGAGGACATTTTCATTACATGAATTTAACAAATTTATAAATATATGATTTAACAATATTGCACTGTTACAACCTACTACCAAACAAAAAATTTCTCAAACAAGGCCATTGACACTCACTTGTCTATATCCAAGATGTCAAAAAAAACTTTTCTAATTTTAGAGGAAAAGTTAACAACATAAACAAATTTAGCAACATAAAGGTAACAATATTGCAAAGTAACAACCTACTACCCAACAGAACATTTCTCAAACAAGGCCATCGACACATACATACATATCCAAGATTTTAACAAAAACATTACCTGTACGCAGCCTGCCAACAATTCATGAAGTATATGTGCCCTATGTTTCATCAGTTTCACATCAAATGGTGTTGAGTCACTACACTGACCGTTAGTGATTGGATTACAGAATCGGTTGTTGAATTCTTTCCTTGTACCCAACAGTGACGGCTTCACAAAGTCCACCATACAGTGATCTGTTGATAAAATTACATAACAAGTAAAATATTTGCCATTTCCCACCAATAATTTTCAAGATGGTAGGTAAATTCTTCTTTTTTTTCTCTCAAAGAACATTGTCTAATATCATATGAAGTAACAATCAATTTGATAGAATGGTAATCATGACCACGTCTTTTGAATAATTCAGAAAGAAAACATCGCATACATATGTATAATTTACTCAAAGTAAAAAATATTACAATCAATTCTACTTTAAAAAAAAAAAAAATATATATATAACTTACTTTGTGACATTTTGGAGTTGGCATATTTTCAATATACATCGATCATAATTTTTTAATGTGTACACATTCTTTCTTTTTTTATAACCAGTCAACTGTTGCATTTTTTTTTCTTACTCAATAAAACTTCATTTCAAAACTGAACTACTCACATTCTCCCAGGTTATTTTGTAGCGGTGTTCCAGTCAGTACGATTCTCCGCCGTGAATCAATCTTTGTCATTGCCTTGGATAATGATGTAGCGTCATTCTTTAATATATGACCTTCATCACATACAATGAGATCTGGACCTGATAATTATAATATAAACAACAGTGTTTCAGTCTATGCTGTAAATCTCAAGCCTTTTGTACAAGACCAGAAAATAATTATATCTTCTATATGGAAATTGTATGAATATCTATTTTTAGACTCTGTGACTCATAATTTTATGTTAATCTGTATGTGTAATGCTGTAATAAGACTAAGAGGGTATTTTCCCTCTGTTTTGATAGATTAGTAGGCAAACTTAAATAGCTAAGTGGTAGCTGGGACTTAGAATTAAGGTATCTGCTTCTCACCACATGGACAGTGGGTTTGAGCCGCACTTGGGTCACAACCATGTTTTCTCAAGTGACACCAGTTCAGATTATAGAATTCTGTTTAGTTTTGAAAACCAATTCATTTAAGTTGCAAGAACATGATTCAAATTCATCTTTCACGATAAATAAGTTTCAAATAATATTCACTAAAAGCAAATTAAATCCAATTTGAACAAGAGCTGTCTGTAGGACAGCATGCTCGACTATTCTAAGTGCTTGATAGTAAAAGAGCCTTGATATTGTTAAATTTTTTAAGTTCACAAAAGGGCTAATTTTTTTTTATAAATTCATTTTATAGGCCTTACAGAGAGTCTAATTATACAGAATTGGCTTGACAATTCGGAAGGTAATCTCACAAGTTTTTTTTTATTGAGTAAATAATACTAATTACCTATGAATACATAAATTTGACAGAAAAGGTACAAAGGCTTGTTATTATTATTAAGATGTTTTATCAAGTAAATCACTGCTTTATTATTATGAATGCATAAAATTGTCCCAAAAATGGCACAAACCCTTCAGTAGTTATTGAAATAACAGCTCACAAGCAAAACTTTACCATGAATTTCTAAGTTGAAAAAGGGGAGAAAAATCAGCCTAAATGCAAGATTGAATTATGGATCTTTCTCAGTGACCTACAATTATGACCCTAAATGCATATGTGAAGTTTTAGATAAATATCTTTAATAGTTATTGAGATATGTAAAACTTGCATGTAAACATTAACCAAGAGACTAAGTAGAAAAGGGGATATGAATCAGCCTTAATGCAAGATAGAGTTATGGAACTTGGTCAGTGACATACAATTATGACCCTCCAATTATGACCCTAAGTGCATGTGTAAAGTTTCAAGTGAATATCTTTGAAGACCGTTAACCTATAACCAAAATTTCTAAGTTTCAAAGGGGCAAATAATTCTGCAAATATTGCAGACAGAGTTATGCAATTTTGTAAACTGATGTACATTGTTACTATAAATAAGTATTTTAAATTTCAATTGAATATCTCAAGCAATAATTGAGATATTTGACTTTACAAAAAAACTTTAACCAAAATTTCTAAGTTCCAAAGGGGGCATAATTCTGTCAATATGGTAGGCAGAGTTATCCAACTTGTCAATCTGATGTACCTTGTTACTATAAAAAGTATTGTAAGTTTCAATTGAATATCTCAAGCAATAATTGAGATATTTGACTTTACAAAAAACTTTAACCAAAATTTCTAAGTTTAAAAAGGGGCATTATTCTGTCAATATTGTAGGCAGAGTTATCCAACTTGTCAATCTGATGTACCTTGTTACTATAAATAAGTATTGTAAGTTTCAATTGAATATCTCAAGCAATAATTGAGATATTTGACTTTACAAAAAACTTTAACCAAAATTTCTAAGTTAAAAAGGGGCATAATTCTGTCAATATTATAGGCAGAGTTATCCAACTTGTCAATCTGATGTACCTTGTTACTATAAATAAGTATTGTAAGTTTCAATTGAATATCTCTAGTAATAATTGAGATATTTGACTTTACAAAAAACTTTAACCAACGCAGACGCCGACGCGGACGCTGACGCCGGGGCGACTACAATAGCTCTCATATTCTTCGAATAGTCGAGCTAAAAAGGATAAAATTACCAACAAATCTTGTACAAAGATTTACCTGGTTCTGCTAAGGTTTCGTAAAAGATTTTTTTCTGTTTCTTGTTTTTACAGTGACTTCCGTTCACGAGATTTCTGTACATGTCGTAGCCAAGGATCATGACACCGGCACCACCTTCGTGCCATTCCTTTAACATCTGAGCACGCTCAAAGTTCTGCTTTACCCTAGACATCTCATATACCTGATAAAAAAAACACAGGTTAAAAATTCACACTTCAATTTTTTTTCTGACAACATCAACCCCTAACAACAATACTCAACGTATTTAAATTTACATAGTGAAGCCATTCTTTATCTATGCCTTAATAAACGAAACACACTTATCAAACATCAACTAGAACTATCGCTGAATGCGATTCATACCCCCACCAATGTCCTTGACAGAAGACAACTTGGAAAGGTGGTTAAGGGAATAACTTAAGTGACACAAATACATAAAAAGAAATTATCTCTGGTGAAAAAAAGACTAATTGTACAGGTAATAGTAAAAATATCTATTATCAAATCATGTTCGAAACAGTTACAAATAACCTTTCATTTTCCCAATATACTAAACTTTTTATAAGTCAATTTTTGACCTTCAAGTGTGGCCTTGACCTTCAGCTGGCACAAGGGTAAGATGGGTTCTGCACATCGCCCAATTGGAGTGAACATTTGAGTAAAGTTTGAAGAAAATCCTTCCATTAGTATAGAATTTATAGAGTAGACACAATATATTGTCTAGTATTGGTTGAATGTAAATTTGAAGACTTAACTAGAACTCCGCGAGTCGGATGTGTCGCCTTGTGAACAATGTAGTTTAGGGGAAATGGCCAGGACAAAAATGAAATATGAAAAATAACAAAGGGCAATAACTAAAAAAATAATAAGTGCAGAGCAGCAGTTTCTGTACACTGCACTTCTTGTCAATAAGATCTATCATTCTATGATGTTTCAAGTCCATAGCTTTCATACTTGAGGAAAAATGACCAGGACAAAAATAAAGTAAGAAAAGCAACAAAGGGCAATAACTCAAAAATAAGAAATGCTGAGTATCAGTTCTTATGCACTGCACTTCTTTTTAATCAGATCTATCATCCTATGAAGTTTCAAGTCCATAATTTTTATACTTTCAGAGAAATGGCCTGGACAAAAATTAAGTATGAAAATAAACAAAGGGCAATAACTCAAAAAATAAGAAATGCAGAGTACCAGTTCTTGTGCACTGCACTTTTTCTAAATGAGACCTATCATCCAATGAAGTTTCAAGTCCGTGGCTTTTATACATTAGGAGAAATGGCCCGGACAAAAATAAAGTATGAAAATTAACAAAGGGCAATAACTCAAAAATTAGGAAGTGCAGAGTACTGGTTCTTGTGCACTGCATTTCTTCTTAATGAGATCTATCATCCTATGAAGTTTCAAGTCCATAGCTTTTTTAGGTTGAAGAGAAATGGCCCGGACAAAATTAAAGTATGAAAATTAACAAAGGGCAATAACTCAAAAAATAAGAACTGCAGAGTACCGGTCCTTGTGCACTGCACTTCGGGTTATTGAAAGAAGCATGCATACCAAGTTTGAAGTCAATCAT